GGTATAAATCCCAGCTCTGCAATTTACTACCTATGTGACCTTGTCTCTTCCTTTCTTTGGGGCTGAATTTCCTCATCTATAGAACTGGGAAGGGAAGGATCAGATGATCTCTAAGGTCCCTTCCAGTCTCAGCTAAATTCCCACATTCTGCAAGGAGCCTTTCCCAGTCTTCCTTAATTTCAGTCTTCCCTTCAAGATTACCTCCAATATATATACCATACGTATCTTTATTTTTATACTATATATCTTTTTATTTTATTCTATATTTTTCTTTATACAAATTCTATATCTACCACATATATTTATGTGATATATATCTTATTTTATCCTACATTATATTCATATTATTTTTTATATATTCTACATCTATTTTATAGGTCGTCACACATATCTTCTTTGTACATAGTTGTCTGCATGTTGTTTCACTCATTAGACTGTGAGCTCCTGGACAGCTGGCATGGTTTTTTGCTGTTTGTTTTTTCGCCTATTTAATCACCAAAATTTAGCACAGTGCCTGACACATAGTAGGTGCTATTAAATTAATAAATGCTGGTTGACTGACTGACACTTTTTTTCTTACCAGGAGGCTGGAACCAATGACAGCAGAGAGCACAAAGACGAATTGTAGTTGGCTCTTTCCCTATCCTCAGCCACTCATCCCAGAGGTCCTGGAGAATTCAGAACTTTTAAATTAAATCACTTTGGCCCTTGACTTCATTCTGCTTTTCCCTCTCCTCATTCTCTCAGGCGCCTAACATCTCTTCATTTATCCTGATCCCTTCCCCACCTCTTGGTATTTTGGGTAGGGTTCTAGGGGCGAGAAGCAGGCAGAGATGTGAGTAATGGGGGAGAAGTCTGATCGAGTGGAGAACAGATAATACCAAGATAATTTGAAGCCATTGGGGCTTCCATAATAAAGGTTTTGAGCCCAAGATTATCCCTGACGCTTGGGGTGTGGCGGGGAGGTGGGGAGAGAAGGGAAAGGAGAGGCCTATCAGTGGAGGTTGGTTCGGGTGTTGTCAGGACAACTCTGGTCCAGTTCCCTCAGGCTTGTTTTTTCTCTGCTTCTTGTCAAGGGACAGACCTTCATCCATGGGAACTGGAGACCTTGAGGTGGAGAATTTAGACATTAGCTGATTCCCTTCTGATCTACACAGACCCTTCCGCTTTAGTTGGGACGGCTTTGTGCAGCTGAGTTCTGGCAGGATTGTAAAGGTTATTTTCCCATGAGATGGGATTGTGAGGAGACACTCCTACTGTTTTATTCATGGGAGGAGCTGTGTGTAAAGGATGCAGTCTTGGGCCTTAGGCCTCACTGAACTGTAACAAATTCGTGGGAACCAGGTTCTCCATTTTGAACCAATATGAGGGGCTTTCTTCGGCTTCGTGGATTTAACTTTTTACTACTTCGTAAAATTACTCCATTCTCTTTGTAACCAGATTCCCTAGGGTAGCATTCACTTCTTCCCCTTCTATGTCTCCTCTCTACATGCTTGAATGTTTTCTAGGCCTTATTTACATGGGAAAAGAGAACTTACAATTCAGAAATAATATACCAGGGTAAAGAAATTAGAAGTGCTAATTTCAGACTAGGTTGTTCTTAATTTCAAAACTATTTCTGAGCTAAAGGTCCAGGAGCAAGCTTGGCCAGTTCTGATTCCCTCTAGGCCAGAATTCTGCTTAAAGGTTCAGTCCCAGAACACCCTGGCCCTGGTGTTCATATTCATATGTATATACCTGTATATTAATATATAAACGACTATCAAGAAGTTTTGGGAGACAGGGCATAGAAGGTGGTGTAGGAAATCAGCAGAGGCTTCATGTAGAGGTGGCATTCGAACTGAGTTTTGAAGGACACTAAATTATAAGGGGTGGTGAGGAGGTAGGGCATTTGAGGCACGAAGGACAGCCAGTACGAAGGCATGGAAATGGGAAACGGTGTGGAAATAGCAAGCAAGACAGTTTGGCCAGAGGATTATAAAGTGCCATAGAGAGGAAAATTAGGTAACGTTTGACATGTCAGGTTTTTAGTGCACCACAAATGCAGTACTTCAAAGATTTAAGTGTGGATACTTATTTGGTAAGGTAGCCTGGCTAAGTGGGTAATTTCTATCCCTACCTCTGACATTAGCTGTACGGCTTTGAACAAGTCACTTAACCTTAGCCTCAGGAAACTCTAAAATTCATAGATGGCACACAAAGGCAAAGGAAGATTGAAAACCACTCTGCCTCTCTGATTGATAAAATCACAGATCCTTGTCATATATTGATGATTCCCTCTACCGATTGCAATCCCTTCAAGTCGAGAGGGATGACCGTGGCCAAAAAAATTGATCACTGACCCTATAATGAGCTTCTCCAAATTTAACGGGCTGGACAGGAACACAGTGACTCTAAGCCTGTGCTTAATGGCTTTTCTACAGTGGTAGGGTTTGTCAGCATTGGCATAGCCTTTATTATTGTAGGATTATTTCCACCATGTGATCAATAGTCCCCTCCCACTGACTAAAGAGAGAGTATAGAAATTACCCCCAACATTCCAAAAAATCACAACCATCCAATGTGACACTTGGGTCTCTCCAAAGGTTTTATCAGACATGACCTTTCTCTTAAAGGATTGTCTCCCCGATGGACAAGATGGCGGATTTCTGTCGGTACTGGAGGGAAACAGTGAGTCCATTTACACCACTTCCTTCCTTTTGTGCCACAGGCTAGCACATTATATGCCAGGCTTGATAAGTCTTTCGTTCTGAAATCATCTTCCACTTCTAGCAGAAGATACAGACTAGTTTTTGCTGCTGTTTCATGAGGCAAGGTCAGGTAAATGATCTCTTCAGTAGCCCCAACACCAGACTCAACTCTTCCTCTTTTAATAAAAAAGCTCTGAAGACCTTGGACCCCAATTCTTTTGACTAGCACTTCCTTCTACCTCCACTAGATACCACTTTGAGGGGTGGGGAAGGCCAATGGGTGGTATTTGGAGACAGTTATGGTGATATAGAGTAGCCAGGTTCACGTGGTGGTGGTGGTGGTGGTAGGGAGGGCTGTGAGTTGATAGCTCTGGGGTAGGTAGGTGGGTGGGTGGGTGGGTTTGGCAGCATGCTGGTCTTCTACATCTGAGAAAGACTGGCCTACAGCAGTCTTTGGTTACTGTTTCTTTGCCAAAGCATTCACATTTACAAGTTGTTGCAGTCTCTAGCATCTGTGAGAGGCAGAGCTGAAAAATGCCAAGGTCTATCTGTACCAGGAAGTGTTCCTTCACCTGATGTCCTCAGGTCAGCTGTCATAGCTAGGGCTGTCAGGCAGCCTAATAAGAAGGAGGTTGTGGAGTGCTTGAGAGAGCTCTAAAATAAACAAATAAAACCTGGAGATCTTACCAATGGAGTAGCTGGAAGCAAAGGCGGAGACAAGGTAACCTCTCTAGGGAAATAGACCTCTCCTGCCCTTGTTCCCTAACCCCATCCCCACCTGTTTCAGTTCCATGCAAACCACAGAGTAGAGTGTTTTTTAAAATTTTATTTAATTTCATTATTATCCAAGTACCTTTGAAAAGATAATTGTACAAGTCAGAGCATGAAAAATGGTCTGGGGCAGCTAAGCTGGCCTTAGAAAATGTACATATTTACAATGAGACCCTTTAGAAACAGGGAAATGAAAAAGGGCTATGGTCAGGCCACAAGAAAACATCTCACTGGACAGCGGATAACAATTAGAACTTTAAAAAGATTGAAGAGTCAAATGCAGTTAGTTCCCTGGATGAAGACAAGTTCTCATTTGCTGGGGTTCACACAGTGGCAGGCAAATGACAAGACTGCGTTTCAAGGCACTCGGTGACATCTACAGTATTGGAGGCCCCTGCCCTCCTTCCCAGGGCATTGTTGTGCCCACCTAGGGCTGGGGTCCCAGTCAGTGAGATGTGGGCATGAGTGGGGCCATGCTGAAGGGAGAGCAGCAGGGGAGCCACAGGTGAGGAGAGAGGCCTGGTCACTCTCGACGTTGCTGGAGAGGAGGCTGATCCCTCGCCTTTCCAGTGGGCCCAGGCTAGATGACCCGTCGATGTCCCATCCTGATCTGACTGAGATAGAAGCTTAGGGACCAACAGTTTGCTCAGACAGATCAGGGAAGGACAGTTAGAAAACCACAGCGGACATTATATGTAGTTAGCAGCAGTGAGGGCAAGTTCCCCTCTGAGGACAGGCCTTAAGTTACAGAGAGGGGTGGGAGTGGTGGGAGAGAGGCCTGATCTCTCTCAGTGCCAAGATCAACTCAGTGATACTCTAGGGCAGTGGTATCAATAGAAATAGGGACCACCAATCTGTACACGAGGATTCCTGTGGGCCACCTACTGACTTGGTTTTAAAATGTAATATTATCTACATTTTATTTTTTCCATTTATTTTGTTAAATATTTCTCAATTACATCTTAATCTGGTTCAGGCCACACTTGGGAGAGCGTTGAGGGCCACATGTGACCCTGGGCTACGTATTTGAAACCTCTGCCATAGGAAATCTGCTGTTTGACAGCAATTCAGCCTTCAAAGCATCCTGCTATAGCTCTGACCTCTTTGATCTGGGCAAGTTTCCTCCATGGAGGGTTGGGTCAAATTATGTTAGAGAGAACATTAAATAGTAAGTGATCAATGGCTTGTTCCCACAGAAAGAGGCAAGGCTGCCTTGGCTAGACTCCCAAGAAGAATGTGTGTAGGTATACGGGTCTCAAAGGATATTGATTGCTCTGGGGGTTTAACTCATGGGTGGGATCTCTTTCCTCCTCAGCATCTGCACTGATAGGTTTTCAAAGACTGACCCCCCCCCCCCCCACCTAGAAGCATACACAAAGATAATGTGAGAGAATGAAATAAAATCACCCAGATAGAAGATATGGGGCTGGGGGTTTGCAGGTAGAGGGAAGGGTATTTAGATGGGACAGATCATTAGATCTGTACACATTTGGCAATTTCCAAAGTACCTATATGTCTGACATTTACATAAGAGCACTGTGACACTGGAAATATCTTCCTTTATTACAATATATCAAAAATATGAGCTTTAGTAAACAAGGTCATATACTTTCTAGTACAACTGTACAACACTACATTACATAGAATATTTTGCATGTAGGCAAGTTCTCAAAGGGGAATCCTCAACCCCTGGTGGACAATGCCGACTGGGGAGGGTCCACAGGAGGTTACAACCCTATGGGGCCTGTGTGATGCCCTTTGGGATAGAGAGCTGAGCAGGATGCTGCTAGTCTGGCACTGCTCTCTGTTTCTGAATCCCTCGGCAGTGGTGCCCAACCTGGAAGAGTGTGGGAGATGGGAAGTCTAGGGGATTAATCCACTTTCTCCACTTTCCCAATGATCTTCTCTTCAAAAATGGGCAAGATGGCATCATCTTCTCGAACTTCCTCAAACACTACCCCACAGTCAAATTCATCACTCACTTTCTTGAAGTAGTATCTGCAAGACAGAAGGAAATTGGGTAAGGGAGAGTTGACAAGAAGGGGAATTGGAATAATATAAGAAGTCACAATTAGACCTTTATTTTAATCTCCCTGATCAATGATGCTTTCCATATAGTATCTTATATACTACAACATCCCTGTGAGGCAGGTGCTGTTATCCCTGTTTTACAGATGAGGAAACTGAGGCTGAGCAGTTAAGTGACCTCTCCAAGGTCACAAACCTAGTAAGTTTTTGAGGCAGTACATAAGCCCAGGTCTTCCTAGATTTCAAAACAAGTGCTCTATCCTCTACATCATGCTGCCTCCTAAGGAATATGGTATCTGATGGTCAATTATGATTCTTCCCTAGAGTTAACATGTACTCCAAAAAATCCGGGCTACAACTGGTGTGGGAGACATCAGCAAGGAGACAGAGTGGAGCCCCCAGGATTCATAGTCATTAAGTCTATGCCTGCACAATGACTGAAGGGACCCATGCCCAGCTCTCAACCTCTTCAATCCTATCTCGTAAAGTCTCTGCTCCAGTTTTTTCACCATATCTAGAATACAAGTTTCTCACGGATTCCTGTCTCTATTCAGCCCTCTTCTCCCTACCTACAATCTTTTTGCCTCTCCATTTATCATTTCTTTCAAAATCAGGTTCAAAACTCATCTTTTCTAAGAAGTCCTTTCTAACTCACCACCCTCCATTCTCAGGTCTCCTTTGTCTTAAATCCTCTGTAGTCCATACTGCCTCAGCTCATACTCACTGCTCTGTAACTATTTCCAGGTTTCTGCAGCTACAGGCTCTGCTCAATAAACATCTTCTGAATGAATACAGGAATAAGGGATGATTATGTATCAGGGGGCAACTGAGGGTCCTGGGATACCCTTAGGCCAGTAACAAACACTCATATGGACACTGATTGATTCGGCTTTCACTCTCAACTTCTTTACTCACATCGATGTCTATCTCAGTCTCCAATGGTTCAACTCAGTTACACAAGTATGTAAATGAGCACTTGTTATATGTTAGCTGGGCACTGTTTCATGAGTTTTCTGCCAGGAGCCTGGGAGCTGGATGAGATAACCACTCCTTCCCCCAACTTTGCTGATACAAATACCCCTTATTGTAGGTTTGAGCAGAGAGGACCCTGCTCCTGGCTGATTGCCCACATGGGACAAGTTAACCAGGAAGGCTAGGCTGGGCTGTGCCTTACCGACATGGCTGGCAGGACAGAGGACTTCTCCTCTCCTGAAATGTAATTCCCAAGAAGAACCACTTCGGTAACAATGAATCATTGGTTGTAACCTTTACTGGGAGACCCTCCAGAGCTGGTTTCCACCCTGTGGGCTGGCTGCATGTTGAAGCCCACGGGCTGGAAATAACTTGAGCATGTTTATAAATGAGGAAGCAACACAGTTCTGCTTATCCTCCACCCTAAATCCCCGAACAACAGCTGTAGACTTAACCTCTAGGCTGGGGCCAATGGAGAGATTGTAAGTGGGGGAACAGTGTGTTTCTATGTGTAGGGGGGAAGGGAATGATGTGGAGAGCAGAGCAGTAGTTGGGTCTCTTGTAGAGCTGTTGATTTTCTCCAACAGGTCACACCCTTAAAATGAGCTCACAGGGTAAGATTTTCCCAGACTTTTTATTAACACGTTTCCATGATAAAATTGCTAAAGTAGCTGGTATAAGACAAGGGAAGCGTCGCTAGCAGAAGCCCTGGAAAAAGATCTAAGATGAGATGCCTGGAACAGGATTTCTGGGGGACCCAAGGGCTGGGACTGCCTGCTTTGAAAGGAGGTCGTTAATGACCCTTCACCTCCTCCTCCCTCCAAGGTTGGAGATCCACACTTAGCTTCTTTCTGGGTGTGCGTGCGCGTGAATGCGTGCGCGCGTGCTAAGTGCTTGTTTTTCCTGTCACAAGGGCTAACTGCTTCACTCGAGCCTCTGTTGCTGTCTCTACTGGGGCCTCTGCTGTCTTTGCCCCTGTGCAGCATGAGGACAGACAGTGTGGAAAGTACGCACAGGGACAGCAGAGGAGGAACAAATGACACATTGTCTGTTCTCTCTTAGCACCATGGGCATGCTTGCCTTCCTAGAAGCACTATGAGGGGAAAGGTAAACCCACCACCAGAGTACTGTTGAGCTGAATGAGACGTAGGGATAGGGAGGGGTGGGGACCATCTGCTTCCCTCTCTCCTCTGATCTACGTTTCCACTATTTTCTGAGCTGTTGCTGAGCATAATGGAGAGGAAGGTCATGTCACTTACAACTGGGAAGGAAAGGGCTCTTCCATCAGTTTCACGTGCAAGGACTGGAGAACATGCTATGTGAACACAGCCTGGCTTGGTGTGAAAGTGGACATGGACATAATGGATAGAATTACTGAATATCAGAGTGAAGGGATCACTGAGTTTCACTTTATGGAGTGAATTTAAGAGATCACAGAGGGTAGATGATTTGCCCAAAGTCACAGACTTGGTCAGTGGAGTAAACTAGAACTTGAATCCAGGTCTCTGACTCTTTCCTGGTACCATCCTAGAAGAGACAACAGTCAAGTCCTTCTCTGCTGCCTTTCAGAGCTTTTATCTATTGCCCTTTGGGGCAGTGAGGTGGCGCAGTTGAGAGAGCTCTAGCCTTGAAGTCAGGAGAACCTGAGTTCAAATCCGGCCTCAGACACCTGACACGTACTAGCTGTGTGACCCTGGGCAAGTCACTTAACCTGGATTGCCTCACCAAAAAGAAAAAAAAAGTCTTGTCCTTTAATTTAGGCATTCTTCTCACAGTTTGTTTCTGTTTCTCTAATACAATGAAAAAGGGGCTTATGTTGCCAGTACAAATAATGAAATATACATAGGAATTCTAAAGTATGAAGTACAGATAACTGATTAGACTAAAAGAAGAAAATCTACTTCCATTATTACGGAATATAACTTCTACAAAAGTTAGTGGCAGTAACTAGGCCTTTTAGTCACCCACCTGATCCACAGCCTCTCATGGAAGGTGACTGGGTTATTTCTTTAAAAATTTACATCAAAAATACAGATCTTCAGAGTTTACTATCTGATTTGTTATGCCTCTTCTTCCAAAGGTATAAAGGGAAAGAGAAGCTGAAAGAAAATGCCATCATTTGGTGGTTAAGCTTTTGTAGCTACTTCACAATCCATGAGGCAACCTGAAAAGAGCTGAGAGGGAAACCTGGGCCATGCCAAACAAACTTGGTAGGCTGGTAGCACATCACTGACAAACACATTGTGGAGGCAAGGAGAAATACTTCTCCCAAAACTCCTAGGTAAGAAATCTCTGAGAACAAAGACCCGGAGAAATTATAATGAAGAACGAGGCTCGTGCTGGTGCTTCTCTAGGCCTCCAGGTTGTAACTAAGTTTCCTGTGTGAGTACTACCAGTCCAGACATTTCTGCTCTTACCTGTAGTTTCCTTTCTTGGTCAGGAGCTCTTTGAATTGACCCAGGGTGACCACACGCCCCTTGACCAAGGTCCTGTAAGGGATTGGCTCTCCACAGAAGTAGTAAGCTACCACAATGGTATCGCATGGTGGAGCACTGCTATTCCCCAGTTTCTTTTGTAGCTTTGCCCTGGGATTCAAAAACAAAACAGAGTTGGTTACTTTTTGTAGAAGAGCAATACAATAAAGCATTTCCTAACATGAACCCACAAAAGGTTTGTATCCTGTGGAACAGGTGCACAGTGTATACATGTACACATGCATGTACACACACATGCACACACTAAAAGCTGTGACTAGTGCTCAGTTGTGACCCACACAGTGGGTACTGCTGGTACTGCTGCAGGCCAGCTAAAGCCCTGGTACTTAAAGAAGAGCTGGAATAGGCCTAAAGGGTCTGCATCCTATTCTCCAGTCAATCAAAAAACCCTAACATGCAGACATCCATAGCGCTGACCTACCAACCTGCTTACTCTCCTCTATCAATTAAGAGTTTATTCACAGCAATCTCCAGCCCTAAGGTTTTACCCCAGAGGCACCACAGAAATAGAAGTGTTCCGTTACCAATCAAAGACAAATTCTAATACTAAGGTTTGTAAAAGCAGAAATTTGGTATTCTTCCCATGCACTCCTTTTCTCATCAACTGCCTTAAACAGTATTTGTGTAGTTCATAGGTTGGTGGTATGTACTGCCTGAAACTGGCCTCATATGGATCGTGTGCTGTACCTGGAATGAGGAAGACCTCAGTTCAAATTCTCCCTCAAGATATTTGTCACTAATCACACTAATTGTGTGACCCTGGGCAAGTCAATTAATACCTCTCAGCCTTAGTTTCCTCATCTATAAAATGAGGATAATAGCACTTCCTTCTCAGAAGAGTTGTCATGAGGATCAAGTAACATATGTAAAGTGCTTTGCAAACTTGTAAGTGCTATGTAAATTCCAGCTGTTACTGCTGTTAACCGGGGTCCCTGCACATACAATGATACATTACCCCCACGGCCACTGGTGGACCTCGGGGAAATCCTTCGCACAAGGTTGGTTAACAACCAGGAGGGTTTTCCCTGTGTCTGTGGTCACTGTGTCCTTTTATCAGCTGAATGTTATGACAAAGCTTGGGTTTCTTAAAGGGCTGTAAGTAGTGAATTTCTGTACTCAATCCCACACTAAATCAGATCCTACAGTTGGGATGCCATAGAATTACATTTTCAAATCTTTTTTTGGGGAGTGGGGTTGGTGAGAAGCGGACAATTATATTGTTCAAGGAGACAGGTGGCTTATATTGCTTATCTTAACTGAATCTACTTCTGGGACACGCCCTATCAGGGTTCTAACCTAATCAGAAAGCACCTAAAAGTTATGAGTTACATTGATTTTAAATGTTCAATGAATTACCTCTATTCCTCCTCCTCCCTGCTAGAAAAGCAGAACCAAGTAGTATAAAAAGCATCTTGCGGGTGTCAGGCAGGTTTTCAGGGAGCCCAATAAGTATGGCACCACTATCTGAGGCCCCACAGTTCTGCTAACCCCTTTAAGCTGTTCTGACACGACACCTACTTTGAGCTATACGGCCCTGAGCTTCAAATGAAAACTCCTGTTCTCTAACAACACTTTAGTAGGAGTCAACTACCCAGAATGGAGTTTGCAACTGCCTGAATTGGGGCTCATGGTTTCTCCAGAAGCCTTTATAATGTTCTTCAGGCAGTGTCTGGAAGCGACAGCAGTCCACCATACACTCAGGGAGATTATGAGTGAGGCTGAGGCACACCACCAGCAACGTCGGTTAGTCTCTGGCACCACAATTCATGAGCAGAATAGAGAGGCTTTGATGCCAGATGCCCCCACACCCCAGTGGAGCAGCTAGGATGCCTAGGAGCAAGGAGTTCATGTGATCACGAAGTTCCTGCTAGGGAAACTCTAACCTAATATCTGAGGCTATCTAGAAAGAGGGCTCCCATTCAGAACTCAGTATCTACGTCCCACTCAATATATGCACTACAGAATCTTAAGGAGTTGGAAGGAGCTTTTGAAGTTCTCTAGTTCAATCTCTAAGTCCTCATGGCACTGCCTTTTCACAGAGCTTCAGTTGGGATTATGATCTACAAACAGAGGCAGTATTCTTGTGGCCACACAGGAAGCTTGCCTGGTCAGATCATGCTCTCTTTCCTCTAATCTACCTTTCTGGAAATGGGACTCCTTTGGTGTTAAGGCTCCACAAAATGGAAAAAGAATACAACTTATTTATCAGCTGGGGTATGGACTACTTTTGCTTACTTACTCTTACTGTCTCTGGTAATAGCAGGAAAAGGAAACAGAAAACAATTCTTCAGTAATTCTTTCAAAAAGAGATAGTTTCTTTTAGCCACTGGGTGAGAAGCTTTTCAATTCAACTGAGAAACTGGCAAAGGCTTTTAAGATGACGTCTAAGCAAGGAGCTGCGGCTTTAGGACCAATTCCTTCCTTAACACACACAATTTGCAGGGAACACATTGGTTCTGATATTTAACACAGCAGGTGCTTCAGAATATGGTGATTTTTATTTTGTTTACAAACCACATTCTCATTCTTTTGTACCACCTACTTCAAAAGGATTTTGGCCAGAAGGTATGGATATATTGGAAAGTGTGGGGTCATTTCTGATTTCTAGGGTCTTGACTAAGTAGTCATTCACATGAATATTTTCTATAGTTGTCATTTCATCTAAGAGTATCAGAATTTTTTGAGCATACAGATTCACAACGAGCAGACTGATACTACATTCACCACAGATACTTTTATATTAATAATTTTAATTAACTCAAAGCTTTTTTTTCAAGAAATCTGTTTTTTTCAACTAGGTTATAAATGAGCCACTCTTGGAGAACTGAATTCCAAAGTTCAGATGGGACGCTTTAAAAAGGGGAAGGCAGTGGGGCAGCTAAGTGGCGCAGTGGATAGATCTCCGGCCTTGGAGTCAGGAGGATCTGAGTTCAAATCTGGTCTCAGACACATAACACTTACTAGCTGTGTGACCCTGGGGGAAGTCACTTAACCCCACTGCCTAACAAAACAAACAAACAAACAAACAAACAAACAAAACCCCAAAAAAACAAAAGGGGAAGGGGGGTGGAGCAAAAAAGGTATATAGAAGTTGGGTTGCTATAAAACACACATAGTTCCAAGGCCCCGTTTAGGAAAATATGGCAACAACCTTCTACTGTTTAATTGATCATGGACTCAAAATATATGTATGGGCCAACAACTCTCTGCAAACCTGAATGCTTTCCCTAGCTATACCAATATCAAAATGTCTCCCTTTAAAAGACTGCGGACAGAAGGCTGTATGTCATAAAAAAAAGCACAGGCTCTGGCTCTATCTCTACCTTCTTAGGCCCTGTCCATTTCCAAGGTCAAGCTGGTTCTGTAGTGTGGGAGCTCCCTAATTGTGGGGTGAGGGATAGAATGAATAAATGGATAAATTATTCAATAGCTAGTGATTTTTGTGGTCTACAACAGCAGGCCCCTGGGGCCTTGGTTCCTAGATGTATAGAGAACACATGAAGCGTAGTGGCACCTACTCAGACTCGGAGAGGTCCATGTCGGAGACAGCTGGTACCACATTCAGCATTGGCATACAAGCTGGCCTGACAGAAGAACGACCCCGCTGGATAACCTCTTGCACATACCTAAAGAATAATCTTTATATATTAGATGTGGCAGGTTTACCCCCATTTCTATGATCCAACACCAGTCATAAAGCTAACCTTTCAAGGAACAAAACCTTAAATCCTTTGTTCACTTCACCCATTGTCTACAAGCTTCTTGGAAGATAGTAAAGCGGAGAAAATACAATGAATCTTATAACCCAAGAAAAATGAATTGAATTTCCCAAAGCCTAATAAATAGATAGCTTTAGACAATGGCTTGTACTTAAGAAGATGGGAATTTGTCAGTTGATCCATAATGGCACCATTTTGCCTCTGCACTGTAAGCCAGGAAGAATTCTGCAGACAAGCTACTCTTTAGCACCTAGAGAATAAACATTCCTCACTCTTTCTGTGTAATAGGGTTACCAGTCAATTGTTCTTTCACCAGTTCTTTCTCCAGACAACATACACTTTTAAAAATCTGGAAAAGCTTGGAAAGAGGCCTTTAAGAACACACTTCCATATATTTTCACTTTAATATTAATAACATCATCACCTTTCTTTGGAAGATCTCAAAGAGCAAAATTCTTATTATCAATTTATATTAATCTGCTTTTCTTCCTAGATTAGTTATAAATGATACCCTTTCTCTACATCAATGAAATGTATATATTTCTGGGCATAATTCTGTACAATTCAGTATAATACACTTTCTTTATTGATAAACGACACACTGTTAATATGAAGAAGCCAAAAACTAAGAAAATATTTCAAGGCAAAGAATCGTAAAAAATGGGTCATTGTAGACAATAATTCCGTATCTCAGGACCCATATGCACAAAAATATTTATAGTAACTCCTTTTGTGGTGGCAAAGAACTGGAAACTGAGGGGATACCCATTACTTGGGAAATGTTTGAACAAAATTATGGTATTTAAATGTGATGGAATACTGTTGTGCTGTAAGAAATGATGGGGATGAAGGTCTCAGAAAAACCCGGGAAGATCTGTGTCAACTGATGCAAAGTGAAGTGAGTAGAACCAGGAGAACAATTTGTATGTTATCCACCTCCAGAAAGAGAACTAATGAACTAAAATAGTACAGATTGAATCGTATTTTCTTCTTTTTCTCTCTCTATAGGGGGAGGATATGGCTAATATGGAAATCTGTTTTGCATGACCACACATATTTGAGTTTTGTTTTTCTTGCCTTTTTAATGGGCTGGGAAGGAGATAATTTCAAACTGAAGATGTAATAAAACTGAATTTTAAAAAAATTCACTATCTCTCCCCTTCCCAATTCTTCAACCCCTGGGTCTTTCATTACAAAATCAGCAGCTGCTTATAAAACCAAACCAAACCAACAAAATTACTCCTATATCAAGAAACTCAAGCCAATAGCTTTTCTTCTTCCTTAAGAGTCATCTGTAAAAGCTTAACTTCATTTTGGGGAAACCTGGGAGCAAGAAGGCAGGATGCAAAGGGGCATGGAGAAAATGGCTTTCACTGAGTTTTAATATTTACTTTATTAATTTCCAGCACCACTTCATGCAGAACAACTGAACCTACACTGCAAAAGAATTCTAAGATACAGCTCTAACTTTAAGGAGATTCTGAGTGAAAGTGGAGATAAGACATACAATTTTTTTGGGGGAAAACCCCCAAATCTATTGCAATAATAAGCCAAGAAACTGTTAAAAATAGGAAAAACATAGGAAACCAGGGACTCATGTAAGCTCTCTCAGTAAAGATAAGAAACTAGCTCCTGAACATCAACACTGACTGCCCAGGTGCGGTCTTCTGCTGGTCTTCCAACTTGAAGGACTTGTGAACTGATCTTTCAACAGGGGATACAGACAGAGAAATAAACCCATCTAAGTGTCAGGGGCCTTGCTGATGAGAATGTGTCTACTTCCGACAAGATGGGAAGGGTTACAAGAGGAAAAACTTGATGACCTCTTAAGCTTGTGCTAGCCTTAGGAATGAGAAGGCTATGGGATATGAGAACAGTTGATGGAACAACAGTCGGTCTTTGGGGTTCTAAATAATTGTCATCATTTTTATGTCCTAACGCTAGTAAGAGGAGTTAAGAAATATCTACTAATTCACAACATAGCTGCCACTTTGCATGCATATAATAAAATATCTGATTAGGTGGGACAATAGAGCTGGGTTATTTATATAGAGAAGGCAAAATTATAACTTTAGCTGTCATTATTACTTTTCTTTTGTATATGTGAATGTGGTCAGCAGTTTATAGTTAGGAGGAGTAGGGAGAACAAGGTGGAAATTGGGAAATAAGGAAGAGTGGTTTGCTCTTCTCTAAAACTTCAGCAAAGCTGAAGATAAGAAGCCCTGCTTCACTTGGACAAAGCACTTCAGCTACATCAAGAAAGGAAACAATTTTGTCACAAGTTTTAATTGCCTAATCCTAAAAAATTCTTGCTGCCAATATGTTGTCAACTATTTTTCTACTCAATTATCTTTCACATCTATATATCTGAATAACTTTAAGAATATCAATTAGTCTGTGATCCTACTCCTTCCTGAATGCTTAAAGAAACAAATAAACCCAGTTCTACAGTTCTATCTATCAAGGTGTAAGATGGTTAACCTGCAGGAAGATTTATCTGAAAAAAAATCAGAGAGTTTTAAAAGCTGGAAGGGACCTTAAGAGATCATCTAATCCAGTGGTGGGAACCTGCAGCCTCAAGGCTACATGTGGCCTTCTTCTAGGTCCTTGGGTGCAGCCTTTTAACTGAGTCCAAATTTTACAGAACAAATCCTTTTATTAAGGAGAAGTGTTCTGTGAAGTTTGGATTCAGTCAAAGGGCTGCATTTGGGGACCTAGAGGGCCACATGTGGCCTTGAGACCGCAGGTTCCTCACCCCTGATATCTAAAGTCTTTATTTGTCAGGTGAAGGAGCTGACATCCTGAGAAGGCAAGTGATTTCCATCACACAAGAGCCAAATTCAATTTAAATTGCTGCAGTCTAACACTCAACACATTTTATAGTACCCACTCTCTGTGGAAGCACTGTCAGTGAGAAAATGGAATCTTCTTAAATAATAACACTTCATGTATCTCAACTTGGGACCAAGTTGTCCTTGTAGGGAAAGGTCAAAGGTGCTAAATTTCCATTTCATCAAAATTAAAGAGAAAGTGTGGCTTAAGGGAAAAGTTCCTTTGCCAGGGAAATTAACAGTAGGTTCCTGGAGTATCCTTCTTCTACCTTTTACCCTCTTAATATATTATCCTAGGTCCCCAGCAGACATGTGTTCTATGAGGGGGGTGGACTTGACATCTTAGGTTCCTTCCAACTCTAAATCTATAATCCTGTGATCTGTTATTGGGGAGTCGCTGATAAGATGACTGCTGCAAAGCTCTGCCTATCCTCTATGTCCCAAAGACAGCACTTGAGCCTCGGAATGAAAGATATAGCCAGAAGTAGGTGGGTAATTCTTGTGGCTGCACCTTATATGGTTAAATTAAACTGGTGTGCAATGTTTTATGGTTATAAGGGCTTACAGAAATCTATTTATCAGAAACACTGAGGTGGTATGCCTCCAGCATGATAGAACAAGTGAAATATCATTTGCATTGAATCTACTGATTTAGTCAAATGTACATATATGGTAGCAAGGGTTATTTTTTTAAAAGAAAAATAAATAAAATCATAACATGTAGTATTTACATTAACCCTACAATAAGGATACAAATTAAAATACAATTTAGTTAAGAAATGGAATTACTGATCATACAACATCAGTATTCTCACAACACAGATGCATAATTCTGCAGTATAATTTAGACTTTCCTGGCAGTCTTGCATACTAATTTATGAAAACTAGGGGTTAGATGTCTATAAGATAGAATTTTGATATTAGAGATTCTACAGAGTTTATGTTACACCTATGAAGTACACAAAGTTGATCCAATTTTGAGGTTTATTTCCTTAATGTAGCTGTAAATAAAACTTTTTAAAGCTCTCACTGAAAAGTCTTCATTTTGGTACTTAAGCCTACTTTGCCTGAAACTACTTTTTTGTGTTATTCTGAATCACGCTGGGGAAACATTGTCATCTCTCACACTAAAAGACAAAGACAAGTCTCTCTTTTAAAACATCTTTTCAAAGTGACCAATGCCACTGTTAGTGATCCAGAACACTGATTAGGCACTGGATGAATAATTCTATTTAATTTCCTTTCAGAATGACTCAGGATAGCCAGCACCCTGCAGTTTAATCAAACACCTTCCACTCCTTTTGGCCCTTTATCAGAGCACTCAGGGCTATGGAGCTTATTGTGTTGTCCTTCTCTTCTGATTGAGGAGGCTGGGGTAACTATTCGTGGGAGTGGTCCAGCCTCCTGCCTTAATCCCTAGAGGTACCAATAAATGTAGTTAACTAAACTGGGCTGTCATGCTCAAAGGCTCTCTGCTGTGGATCTCAGGAAAATGTTTTTAAAGGACTCACCAAGATAAAGTAGATACCACTTAATGTAATTAGATTGGGTGAGGAGGGACTGAAACACAAGCAGATGGCATCAATTTAAAGTAAAAACCAAAGGCCTCTATACTTATGTCATTTTCTTGAATAGGGTATTTCAAAACTCACAGCTCACCAAATTTACTTATTTTGGAATTCCACAAAGTGAGATACCATAATAATCAACGCTTACCTCATCATTCTTAAAACATTAATTTTCTCTGAAACTCCAATCAATTGAAACCAGGCCCTACCTCTGCTTGGTAGGGAGTTTTCCAGCTCTTTTCTCTTCTTCTTCCAGGCGCCTTCGGGCTTCCTCCAGCTGAGTCAGGGGGTTTGGGGCTGGGTTAGGTGGCATTGTGGGGTCTTGGATGAAAAGATGAGAAGGTTGGACAACATTTCGGAGCTGAGCGCTCACCCACGGATGAACAGCACCAGGACGCTCAATGGAAAGGGGTCTGGAACTATCATGGCCCAGCTGCTTCTTAGTCCCTGAAGACCTGTTTTAAAATAAAATAAAGGTAAGACTCAGTCAACATAGATCTTTTTTTTCCTTCAATTTAACATTTTATTTTTTGCCAATTACATGTAAGAACAACATTAACATTCTTTTTTCAAATTTTGAGTTCCAAATTCTCTCCCTCCCCCCCCCAATTGAGAAGGCAAGCAATTTGACATAGGTTATACATGTGTAATCATGAAAAACACATTTCCACAACACAGATCTTTAAGGGAGCAAACAAACTTGGTCACCAGCCACACAGGAGTCATTACTCTCTTTTCCCTCAACTCTGTGTAGTGACAGAATACTTCACAGATTTTCATGATTGGGAAGACATTCATGCAAGCAGGTCCTTAAGCTTACATCATACTCCCAAAACCAAACAGGACACACTGTCAACACCAATTTATCTAAAATAATTTATTTAGCTACTTTATTTTCAGTATCTACTTTAAACTCATTCTAGACACAGAAATGTAATTACTTTAAAAAAATTAAGACTTCACACAGTAGTCTTAACAGAGCTAATTGCTGGTAAAAGATGCACAGAACAATAATTTTGCTATATATGGCTACAGTATAAAATGGATCAGCTTTAATTCCTGGTGACTTGGTATGGCTGTCTCTACTAGACATATGGAATGCTGAAGTGTATGCTGTAATTCAATTTTAAACCCAAAAATGTATCTGAGCAGAATCTGTTGGCAATTTTCTCAAGTTAATTCAAAGAATATTCTTGGGTGACAACTATATCAGTATTTTGTACAAAATTTCAGGAAGGAAGGCAAGAAGGAAAGAAAGGAGGGAATTTTTCCCCTTTCTCCTCCTACTTTGCTATAGGGTAAGATAGATTGGATTACCTAATTGAATATGTATGTTATTCCATATTTGAGCCAAATTCAATGATATTAAGGCTCAAACAATGCTGGCCTCCCTCCCTTCTTTCCCTCTACTGTAACAGGTCTTTGTGCCTCTTCATATGATGTAATTTACCCTATTCTGCTTCCCGTTTCCTCTTCTCCCAGTACAATAAAGGGGGAATTTTAAAGGTCCTACTATATCGTAGGCACCATGTTAAGTGCTTTACAAATATCTCATCTGATCTTCACACCAATTATAAATGCTATTATTATCTCCATTTTACAGATGAGGAAACTGAGGCAGGCACAGGTGATGTGATTTGCCCAGAGTCATACAGCTAGTAAGAGTGTCTGAGGTTGGATTTGAACTCAGGTCTTCCTGATCTAGCCAGGGGAGAGAGAACTAGTGACATTTCCTGAAGTAGGGCAGAAAACACAAACTTGAGAACCCTAAATTTTATTTGACCAGCTTCAAAAAACCTTCTCCACTGAAAAGCTTGTCTGACAGACATTTAGAATTGCCAGGTGACAGATCTGTAAAGGAAAGTCATGATATACCATGTGGAACAGAGATACTTTTAGATTACACGCTCTATAATAAAATTAGCTTCTTAAAGCACCTTACAAATGTATTTTTAAACAATTCTCCTGAATAACTGATAATTTAGTAAAACTCAGACAATGATCACTAGTTCTTATACATAGTCTTTTACAGTGTGCAAAGCACTTCCTCACAATTCCTGAAGGGAGGCAGTGCAAATATGATCATTTCCATTTTAGAGATTAAGAAACTGAAGCTCAGAGAGATGACATGACTGACCTAAGATTAAAAAAAAGAATTACACTATAGTCACTACCATGTTTGTAATGTCCCATCAAGAAGAAACTGTAACCTTTTTATACCAGTGTGCTTTAGCCCTATTTGTAAATTACTTAAGGTAAAAACTAGAATCAATTCAATTTCCAAGATCAAAGGAAGATGGGGGTGAGTGCATATGATTTATATCTTAGAAATCTACAGTATTAGTTTGAATTTAACCAAGTATGCATACCATGCTGAGACCTCTCTTGGAAGGGTCCCAAAGCCTGTGTAAAGTTGGGTTTTAGAAAAACAACTGACACTTCTCACTTCCTTGGGCAGAGGGATGTGTGTGTTTATATATACAATACAGCGATTCACTACAGTAAGAAGAGCAAAAGTACCAAAGGAGGAATATAGGGAGGCAACATCATCCAAATGTGAACCTAGCTGAACCCATGACAAGGAACATAGGGTCTCTGGTCTCTATGGGTTACGTATTCAGCGCATTTCATTCAAAAGACAGTATGAATAAAAAAGAATAATTCTGTTCCATGTTCCTATGGGCCTTGCTCTTATTTTAAAGAATAACCTGATCCTGATCCTATTGATAGCATGTTTCCTTCTGGTTTCTGACACATCTGAAAGGCACTAAACCTTTCAAAAGAAGTCTCTGCTGACCCTTTCCCAAGAGAGGCTACAAACGAAGACTATTCTTAGTTGCTTATTCCTCTAACATCTGAGAAAACCAAATAAAGTTACTGCTCTAGTCCCAGGCTCTGAAGAGTCTGTGCTTAGTCTGCCCTTTCCCTTTCCTTATCACCTTTGGCCTCAGTGGTCATAGCATGGTTGGCTTCCTCAAGGCCAAGCGAACTATGGATAATCTGTTGCCTCATTCCCCCAGAGCACACAGAGGAGAAGCCAGAGCTGGCAGGATATAAATCTATGAATGGGGCATAGAATCAGCAATGAGGTCCAGTTGTGGAGGTGGAGGATCAGGAGAAGGGAAGAATGAGCATATAGGTTTGGAGACCACACTAAGTTATGGGGAGGTGGCTTCAGAATATCTGTTTGACACTGGGGAGAACAAAGTGAGGAGAGAAACTAACATCTTATTCTTCCTTTAAGATTCAGCTCAAATGCTTCCACATCTTATTCCTTCCCTCTCAACCCTAGACCATTCCAGGGATTTCTCCCCATTTAGTTTCACAGTACTTTTAAAAACTCATATACATTTATCATATTCTAATTAGTGTTTAATTTATCATTATATATGTCTTATCTCCATTTAGGGTATAAATTCTTTGAGGTCAGGAACAATGTTATTTTTTTTTTCTTTTCTGTTTTTTCTCTAATGCCTAGAACAGTGCCTTGGGTATGGAACTTAATTAATATTTATTGAATTAATTCCTTACCCAACAATATGGCTAAGCTAAATGGATTCTAAAGGAGATAAATGGGAGAGAGATAAATGCGTATTAGGAACTTTTGGAATTAGCTGCTTGGCACTCAATATACAAAATAACCTCCACATGATTAATATCCTTGTTTGAATGCTTTTTAACAATGCTGAATGTGAAGGTGGGCATTCTAGTTTTATTGCAGGACAAAAGAGACAACATGATGAAGTGGGAAATGGGACCTCAGTAGAGGAAGCGTTAATAGAAACAAGAAGGATTAGAAAGATTATTTGATCCAAATTGGGAGGGAGGAAGTAGCCGTATTTAGAAAAGATTTCTTTTAAATATGAACGAGAGAAAGTGGAAGAAAGAGATGACTGATCAATGAGAGGCTCCAGCAGTGGAAACCCCTAACATATGCGCCAGAGATAGCACAAAGTTCAATTTTGTTTGGCACTGGGACTGGTTAAATGTTGCCATGCTGATATGAGCCATGAGAATTATTGGTCAGAGAATGATACTACTTTTCCTGCCTTCGATTCTGAGTCAGAGACTAGTATTCATTTCAGCTCTTCTCCTGACTATAAATCAGATGCATTCCCACCCTACCCCCTGCAACCAGAACATAGTCAATATATCACTAGTGTTCTTTAACTTTCCCACAGCCCCTAGTAAATTAGCACCGCGTCTCCTGCCACAAAGAGGAAGGGCTCAGCACTGTTCCGGGGAAGCAGACAACTGGCTTGTGGTTGTTGTTGAGTTATGTCCAACTCTTTGTGACCCCGTGGACCATACTGTCCATGAGGTTTTCTTGGCAAAGATACTAGAAGGGTTTGCCATTTCCTTCTCCAGGGGAATAAGGCGAACAGAGTGTGACTTGCCCAAGTTGTACAGCCAGTAAGCATCTAGGGCCACATTTGAATGCAGGTCTTCCTGACCCCAGGAGCAGCCAGAGCTCTATCCACTGAGCCATCCAGCTGCTTCTGGATAACTGGCTTAGGTTACAGCTGGAACCAGGGTTGGAGCTAAAGTCCAGCAATAAAGGATCGAGCACTCCCAAAGGTTGGGGCTAAGTATCAGCTGGACAACCTAAGGGAATCGTAAAAATAAGATGTGTTGTTACAACATTGGACTAAATAACCAAACTGTGTATGTGTAATTTACCTACTTGTATACATTTTACCTGGAGATTTCATCACACTGCAGTTGAGTGAATAGCTTTGCACTCCAACAGCATGATGACTTACTACAGGAGAGGATTAAGAGAGTTAAAAGGAACTAGGCTACAGCTACTGCCAAAGAACGTTAAAGCTGGAAGGGACTTTAAAATTTACTCATTATAAGAAGTATATTTTATAAACCAGGAAAATGAAGACCAGAGGTTAAGCAGTGAGTTTCAAGGTTGCAAATTAAAGGGAACATTCCCTAATCCCCTTTGGGTAGTGGCAGTGAAAATGACCAGATGCTAAAACAGGGTATCCAGGGTGTTTCTGTCAGACTCTGATTCACTTTTGTCTTTTAAGTGACAATCAGGTGGTAAACTCCTAAAATACTTAGATCATTCTCAGATGAAGTCATTACCACCCCCAGAAATAACCATGTGAGAGCAGTACCACAGTGCTTGCTGGAAAACAGAAATGACCTAACAACAGGTCTTTTTCACCATTAATTTTCCATATTCTTTCCAGGTTTGCTGCTCCATGGGTTTGTCTGATATGGAGAGAAAAAGAGGATCTGAACCGAGGATACAACATTATGTGAATTAATCCTAATTTAAAGGTGGGATATGGCATCAATCTGGTAGGCACTTGGCTGATATTTACTCAAGGCTAATTATTATTAGTACTCTTAAAAAAAAAAGTGTTCAGTGCAGTTTATCCTTCCCACCACAGTACCTTAAAAATCTTTGACTTATGTCAATGACAACCACAAAGGAAAGGTACCACAGGAGGTGGTATGTATGATGCAATAGCAAGAATCCCAGGTGCTGGCCTGGGAGTCAGAAGACCTAGGTTTCAGCTTTGGCTGTTATCCTTACTAAATGTGTGATTCTGGATAAATCGTTGGTAACCTTATAGAGTTGTGACGAGGAAAGAATTTTGTAAACTGCAAATAAAGCAGAAAACTCAGTTAAGCATAGCATCCTGAAGCCAAGAGGAGCAGGGTTCAAGGTCCTTAAACTCTCACCGCCCTAGACAACTATGAGTTGATAAGCTGCAGAGGAGATGGCAAAGTGAATCGATAGTTTTCACCTTCATCTTCACCTTCACCTACGTATACCAATGAATCACAGGTTTAGTCCCCATTCCTAAATACAGCACTACTGAAATATGAAGAATTATTATTACATAGGATGTGAAAGAACAAGAATGCCCTTCATAATGTAGATGTCTTACCATTCACCTTAAAGGCTCAGCTGAGTCACATGGAGTTTGTTAAATGTGGTGATTATGTCTGGTAGAAGGCCTGACCTGACACAATGTATCTGAATTAATATAATAACAGAGAGTGTTTTTATTTTCAATGAGATGGTGTTTACTGGTTAACAACTTCAATACTTTTTTCTAGGTCCTGCCTGTAATTTTCTCTGCGTGAATACTCTTTCCATTGATGCTGGTCATAACTTCTCTAAAACGACATCACATAATGTGATCAAATTGGAGAACAATCGAAAAGCATGTCTTCAGACCCCCCCGTGTAGGAGGAGGCCTGGAGAAAGGCAGAAGCCCAGTTACTTCCCGCTTCCTCTGCAGGAGGCCATCTCCACTCCACTGCCATTCTTTCTTCGGGTACGCTTTTCTAACTTCCTACCATAAAGGCAGAATTACTTTTATAACTAGTTAAAATAAATATTCTCACAGACTTTCCACTCCATAGTTACTTACCCATGGTTAGTTTTTTTATGCCTGCTGATTTCCTTTTCTCCTTCTATTATCCACTGCATGATTTTCTGGTTCTTTTCCACATCTTCTGGAGACCCAGGCATTTCATAGTTGGGACCAGCACTTTTCCCTGAATCAGCCTTCTTTGAAATTCTTTTTGAGAGCATACTGGTTTTGCCACTGAAAGAACAAAATTTTAGAGGTTAATTTTTCCTCACAGAATCACACAACTTGGAAGGCAGAAATCTCCTCTTTAGGATAGCAGAAAAGTACCAATTCCTCATGTGATGTCTGTGGATGGGGCAGCCACTGCATCCTGAGACTAATCATTCCATTTTTTTGCAGTTTCTATTTTTAGAAAATTTTCCTAATGTGCCAAAATCTGATGCTATAACGACTATCCACTGCTCCTGGTTTTGTTCTCTCAGGTAAGTTAGAACAAATATGATTCCTCTTCCATATAACTAATTTCATCTTTATCTTTAAGGCACCATCACTAGAGATACAGATTCTTCAACTAAAATGTAAACAGTGGCTTTCTACCATCATCTCTGCATGAGATCATACTCACTTGGTAATGCTCAGGAAATATTTACATAGTAAACAGTAGCCTGAGAGAAAAGTATAGCCAGAAAAATGTTTCTCTGATAGATGAAAAAAAAAAACAAACCAAAAAACAAAAAAAACCCCAAAAACAAAAAACCCTGGTTTTTTTTGTTTTTGTTTTTTTTTTAAGTTAAATTGGGATGTTTTGGCTACCTGATTTCCAATTTTTGCATGACTGATCATAGGGATCATGTAACCTGTTGTTTGTTTGATCCATTATCCTCAGAGAAAAAAGAGATGGGAGATATCAGCTCTCCAGAAGCGCAACTTAAAGAAAGGTTTAGACACAGCTTCATTATATTGTAGTTGAAGATGACTGTTAAACTGGGTTTGATGACAGTACCTTCCTGGAGACAGTGGGAAGGGAAAAGCCAAATTTCTATGGAACCCTTTATCCCAATGCTCTTGCTTTATACTTATTTCTTAGGCCAGAGGTTTTCAACCAGAGGGAATTAAAAAAATTTTTTTTGATATTTTATATCTCAATAATTAGTTGTTACTTTTCTAATCCTGTGGATTTTTATTTTATGCATCAAAAAAAAATTCTGAGAAGGGGTCCAAAGGCTTTAGACTGCTAACAGGGCCCATGAAACAAAAAGGTTAAGAACTCTTGTGCCAGGAAAGCAACGACTTTCTACCTGGGAAAGCTTTGATGAAGTGTGATACATGGCCAATCACACTTACCCTTCTTCAGTGGAACTGTGGCCTTTCAAGGTATGTAAAAGAAATACAGGAACCCAGCTTTTATTCCTGGTGGGCATCTAGCACTTCAGGAGAGGTAAAAGTTATAATGTGCTCAGCAGTTACAAAAACAACTACTTTATCTGAATGCTCAACTGTAAATATCATTGTTGATTTTCTCTAAGTGTGTAGACAGATTCACTGCTGGCAGAACAGGCATTTGGGTCTGAATGAGCAGGCAGGAGAGGAAACATGGGTAGCAACATGAAAGTAAAGCCACCGGCTGCCCAATCAATGTTAAGTGACCTATGAAGTAACAGTCAGTTCTCTAGATAATGAAGAGATGGGATCCTCACTGGTTTTCTGGCTCTAGGCTCTCCTGTTTTCAAAATTTTGAGCACTTTTCCAATTTCTGTTCCATTCTGTATGCCACTGTAGAGTTTTGCCCCATCCCTCGCACTTAATGGCTGAACTGAGACTGAGAAAGAGGGAGCAGTGTGTCTAACGTGAAGGTCACTCGGGCTGTGATTTTCCAGGTCACTCTCAGAGGACGGTGTAATTCTCGTCAGCAGGGCTCGTTTAGGCCTAGAGTCGGATCCACTTTCCCTGGTACTGTGAACTCAGTACCTCTCGGTAGTGAAATCCTTGGTTTTGCTTTTTGTTTTTTTTTTTTAAAATAATGATCCTCTGTTAGAGTGATTATTCTTTGTGGATTACATATCATTTTTAAAATGCAGAGTTTCAATTTAGAAATACTTTCAAAATCCACAGATAACAATTTCACACCATGTGACTCACTCTTCTACAAAGGAAGACAGTCTCAAGCCCCTCTTTCCAAACTCTTTCTTCTTGATTCTACCTAAAGCAGGCACAGCGACAGAGATGAAGGACAACGGCCAATCTAATTAACACAATGGGGTATGGTTTCAAACCTGCCAACTCAAGACAAAAACTCAGTTTTTCGTTGTCCAATCATTCTCTGGGACACTTACCTGTAGCCCAATCCATCCACTGGATTTGAAGTTAGCCCCATGCTTTCATTATAATTTCGAGATTTGGTTGCATAGTTATGTGACTCTGAATTCCAAGCAAAGCTGTTCTGAACCCTCTGAGTGGCTTCAGCCTCAATCTGCTCTTTTGGTTTCATCACACTGTGGTGATGAATATGGTGGTAGACATGTTTGTGATGGTATAAATTAGCTGCATCTAGTTTCATTCCTGATTTTGTACTGTGCTTGCTATGCCCAGGAGGTCCTGAACCCAGTGTCCCTGGAATCTTAGCTGCATGACCATTGTCTGGGGAGCGTGGCTTTGGGGAATGGTGGCCAGGTCCTGGGGACTGGCAACCTGGCGTCTTCATGACCCTCTGTACATGCTCATCAAGGATGCTCTCAGGATTTTCCTCGTGGACATCTCGGATCCCAGTGCAGCCCATTTCTGCATAACGGGGAGGGAAATGGTGCAAGGTCTGCGCAGAAGGCAGCTTGTGACTAACTACTGAAGGACCAGAAGAGATGTTTGCATCCTCACCTTCTTCTTCCTATTAGGAAGGGTAAAATAGTGCAACTTAAGCAATTTATTTCAAGTTCATTTTTGTTTCATTAGAACACCAAACCAAATGAAAAATAGGAAGGGGAGGGCTTGCTTAACTGATTGCTTAATTTTTCTGAAGATATTTCTACAAAAAACAGACAAAGTTTCCAGAGTGTTTTCTGATGTGTTAATGCTGAGGCTGCCTGCTGAAATTGTCACAGCATAGGTGGTAAAACAGCATGAGGAAAGGAGAAGAGGAAACATTTCAAAGACAGTGCCATACTACCAAGAAAATTAGCATGTGCCCAAGGTGCACAGGGAAAGTCAATAACCTCTGGATATGTCTCTCCTTTATTACTTGGCTGTTGAGTATCTGAGGGAGTTCACGTTGATTGAGAAGTATTAAGGGTGGTACAGCACACATATGCCCAGGTACTAGTACTCTTGGCCTAGTAAGAACAGCAGGGAAAAGGAAGAATGAAGGAAGGAAAGATATATATATCTATATATATAATATATATAGATATATAGATATCTATATAGATATATACACACATGTAACTTTACTGGTAACAAAGAAACTTTTGCAGGCTGCAGACTGTCTAAATCATACCGGCAAATATGTTTGCCTTTTTAAAAAAATTACCACTTAAAATTTTCCTAATATTACTCTGTAAAATTTTTTTTCATAAATTACTGTCCTTCAACAAATATGATGACAATTGTTCAGGATGTCCCACAACTCTTGGTGAAATTTTAAGCAGTGTAAGCTTAATTTCGATCATAAATTCTGAGCTGAAAGGTATCTGTGAGATTATCAAGGTCAATCCCTTCATTTAAACTATTAAAGCTTAACACTGCACTAAGACTTCTGGGACACACTGCATAGTACAGAACTCTAAATTCTTGAAATACGAGTAGATTCTCATATGGTACAGTCAGAAACCATATCTATTTTCTATTCTATACGTTTACAGAGACTGGTAATCATGGATTAAATTTTAAATATGTAATATGTTGAGGGATATACAAAGGAAAATAAGATAAAGTCTAGTAGAGCAGAAAAAAGATAGTTTCAACACATAACAGAACACAACTACATAAGAGAGGTAATGAAGTGCTGTGAGTGTCCCATCTTGGTGGCAATAGCAGAATAAAAGAAGGCTTAACAGGGAAGGCATCATTTGAAGTAGGGTCTTGAAGGATGGACAAAATTTTAATAGACATGGTAGAGGGAGAGAAGAATAATAACAGCTGACATTTATATAGCACTTTAAAGTTTGTAAAGTTGAGTTAAACATATTATTTCATTTGAGCTACATAATAACCCTGTGAGAAGGTATTCTACAGGCATTATTATCCACATTTTACAAACAAGAAAACTGAGGCTCAGAGAGGTTAAGGGTCCTCTCTGTGGTCACACAGCTAGTAGGTATCAGAAAGACGACTTGAATCCAGGTCTTTCTTACTCCAAGTCCAGCACTTTACCTACAATGGCACATTGACTCTCAAAGAAAAATCTGTCTAACATATCGTCTACGGATCAATATGAGCAAAGACATGAAGGCCAGTGGGGTGGGAAACTGGAGGAATATAGTAAGTACTATTTATCCCTATGGATAGTCAATAAATGTTTGATGATCATCAATTACATAAGTCGGACTGGGAGTAAGGGGAGAATAAAACACCATCTAGTGGTCATAGTGGAAAGGAGCATCATACAATTACAAAAATAGTGAATCTGTGGTTCTGACAAGGCATAGCAATATTATTTCTCCTCAAATGAGCAACAGCTATTTTTTCAATTTCATAAATATTTATACTTACATGCCAAACCTGATGATACTAAGTAAACATATTACTACAAATGTACAAAGATTTATGATTCTTTTGCTCATAAATTGATCATAAACTCAGAGCTGAGAGATATTTGAGTTAATCAAAGCCAACCATTTGGGTATCATGTCTGAGACAAATTCAAACCTAGTATGACTCCAAAGCCAGGGCCCTATCCACCACATCATCTGTCTCTCAATGTTGTGGCTACTCCACCTACCAATACAGATAGTAACTCCTCTATAACTTATATGGTAGGAGTGAGAGTCTCATTTCATTTTAATCTTGAATGTGATGTACTAATTTGGACTAAATCATATCTGTCCTAAACTCAGTAGATGGTTTTCCAGACTAGTAATTAGGGCTAACAAAATAATTACTATGTAGCTAACTGGTGATGAAGCTCTGGTCAGTCCGTGAACAACAACAGTCTATCACTGAAACCTTATTGCAAATTGATAGGACCTACTAGACTTTGGAGCAATAGGCATCCAACTGTGGTTTTAGGACCCAGGAAACTATGGCAGGACAGTAGCCCTTAGCTAAGATCCTTTCCTGATCACTAGAAGCAATTCCAAAGAGTAACAAAGTGGCTCAGTCAAAGGATAAGTTACGTAACTTTGTAGTCCCATAAATGGATATTCAAACACACAGTCAGAATCTTTGGACTGAGTCCTTTTTACCCAATTTTCTTTCATAACAGTTTTTCTTCATGGTTCCTCACGAGAATTTCGAATCACAGAATTTAAGAGATAGGTAAGAATTTAAGAGATTTGAGAAGGCTTCTCTATTTTTCCAGACATCTCTATCTGATGCATCCAGTTTCTTGCTGAAGCACAGAAAAGGCTATTGTACCTTTTGCACATTATTTGCTTCTTTTGCAAAGAATTTTCAAGAAAACATATTTAGTTATTCATCACAGTGCTACAGGCATATATGGTAGTGTTCATTTTAAGTTTTGAGAAAATCTGTTGACTTGAAAAATTCATGAGGCGACTTTAATTTAGGACAAAAATTAAGATTCTACTATGTCAAATACAAATTTTGCATTCCATAATGATGTTCCTATTTTTTCTTTCCAAAGGTGAAAAATATGTTCTTGATCATTTATTTAATGATAAATGTACTAAAACTGGAGACAGAACTTCTCATAGAGAACTGAACATTGGCCACTAGGTGGGGCATAATTATCACATTATCAAAGTTCTTCTGAGAATTTAGAATTTTGGATTTCACTTTTTAGAACAGTTCATTCAACAAACATGTTGAATATGAGCAAGGTGCTCTTCTGGGCACTATGGAAGATTTTAAAAAAAGATAAGAAACGATTCCTACCTGCTTTAGTTTCATAGATTATATATAATATATAAAAGAAAAACTTATTTTCCTCAAAAATTGTTGAGAAATCATGCTTCAGATAGGAACTGTACTAAACGGTACTCAAGGTCCTTTCTGTTTCTAGGATTCTATGGAGCAGAAAAGGATATCAATTAAGTGTAGCTAAGGTATCTCCTTTCTTTTGAATTTTGCAGAAAGGTCATCAAATATTTGGGAGTGGCAAATTTTGTCATAAAATGTTTACACAGAATGATAGATGGCTTTTGAATGATGCCAAGATGAAATCTGAAAACCATGAAAGAGAAAACAAGGAAACCATGTGCCCAAGATAAAAATAAAGGAAGTTCTATATGTAGTGCAGAAAGGAGCAACAGTATCTGCAATCTAGAAGACAACATGTAAAATAACTCCAAAAAGATGGAATACGTATACAGCTGAAAACAAAGAGAAGTCTGCTATTACAATGTACAACCCTAACTATCTCTGTGAGTAAATTTCCCAGCATAAAGAGTCCAACTTCACCAGCTAAGTACTATTGTGGGCAGTCAGGCGGCACAGTAGATAGCGCACTGGTCTTGGAATTAGGAAGAGTTCCAATCTGGCCTCGGACACTGACTAGTTATGTGACCCTGGGCAAGTCAGTTAAGCCTGTTTGCCTCAGTTTCCTCATCTGTAAAATAAGCTGGAGAAGGAAATGGCAAACCACTCCGGTATCTTTGCCAAAAAAACCCCTCCAAATGGGGTCAGGAAGAGCTGGACATGACTGAAATGAATGAACAATATTTTAGATGCATGAAGCAGAATAGTTTTTGAATAAAAGTAAAATAAAACTGGTAAAATGATACCCATGTAATACCTATAATGATGAGGACAAAGTATCTTTTTATCAGCTGACAATTCATGATAGGGAGAAAGATTTTGAAATATCTAAAATTACAGGTATCAGTGAGATTCCACTTGCTCCCTCTGCTCCATCAAATGAGATTAACAAGAGGAAAATACAACAACAGGGAGGAGCAGATAAAAGATGATGTTATGTACTTTTAGCTGACAGGCTATACCATTAAAACAAAGCTGAACCCTAAAGGTATTCAGGGAAAATTTTCAAGGCCTTTCTCTCTCTCTCTCTCTTTTTTTTTTACTAAGATGTCAATAAAACTATCTAGGGTTAAGGAACTTTCGTTCTTGTGATACAGGTACTTAATTTAGGAGACAATCAATGACACTAGGAAATGGTTTGTTAGTCAGCTATATTTCCTGTCCCAGGAATTTGGGACATAAAAACAAAACCTTCATGAATTTCAGTACTTATACACCCTTCTTGACAAAAGCAGCAGACCAGATGCTAGTGGCTAAATGCTATCTCAAAGACTCTGACTACATCTGAAGAGTCAAATGCTTCTAGGTTCTGTACATCCACTGCAACCCTTCTGTCTAATGCCTTCAATCACTTCTCACTGATCCCCTATGGTCTGAGACACATCAAAAACTAGGGAGACGGAATACTCCATGTAATACTGAATAATTCTATATAATACCACTTGCCCAACCACCATTTCGCACTATCCTCACCAAAAATAACCTTAACAAATCCTAGGCTCATCATTTCATGAGGATACCACAGGAATGTGTGAAACAACAGCTTGGCAAAACATGGCTAGTTCTGCTTGTAACATAAATGTGTGTTTCAGATACGTTAATGTTTATATTAAGGGAAAATTATGTGACAAGCTCACTTGTGAGGGTTAGATGTTTGAAACAGAGGCAGGAATGAAAAGGAATGCCCTTTAGAGACACTGAAGTTAAAACAATTAACTGACTGATGCAAGGTTG